TAAACTTTTTTTCTGATATTATACTCGAATATGCAAAACAGGGTGGCAGTATGTAATATCAGTTTATTCTTTGCCAACACCTTCATTTATCAGGCTACTATTCTACTACTGTAAGGCCACTAATTCTCTCCCACTTTGTTGCAGATGCTTCCCCCTCCCGAAAGATTTTTATTCACAAAACTGTGATAGAGACAGTTTGTTTCCAGCAAGCCGAGGCTTGTTAGCTGATACATTTTGCTCTCTCCTCTGCGCTCCATCATGATGCTTGTAGAAAATGAGACAATCGTTGTCAAGGTAACCAATCATCTTTAAAGAACTTATAATGCAAATAGCATTTGAAATCTATAGGGTCAATAATGTCAGAGTTAGCAGAGACCCGTTTATAAAAATATTTAATAAATGAAAACCTGTTGCTCCTCTTTCTGATTCTGACTGTGCTATTTATAGATGTCATAAAAAATATTGGTTTGAAAATAAAAAATCAAAACCTAATGGAAAACAAAAAATGTTAACACTTTATATTAAGGAACACTATTAACTATAGTTGCTTATTAGCGTGCATATTACTAGCGTATTGGCTGTTTATTAGTACTTATAAAGCACATATTAATTCCTTATTGGTGGTCTTAGCTGGTTTAAACTGGAAGTAGCTGGTTTTAGCTGGTTGGTCAGCTGGTCTCCCAGCTGAACCAGCTAAAGAAGTGGTCAAAACCTGTCTAAAACTAGTCTGCAAACCAGTTATGACCAGGCTGGAAGACCCGTTAAAACCAGCTAACCAGCCATTTTTTTTCCCAGCAGGGTGACCATATTCTAGATCCCTTATCCTGCCCAATACCAAAACATAACTACTGCTACAACTACCTTAATATCAATAAGAAACAAGTTAGGAGTTTACTGAGGGAAAACTCTTAGTTATTATTGAATATGTCGTCCCTAGTCTAAAGTATTACCCCAAAAACAAGGATTTTGCTACTGAACATCAGTATTCAATTTCATGTTATCTTTAATAGGAAGTTTGATGTAAGAATAAGAATATTCGTAATGTTATTGTACAAACAGTTCAGATGATTGAATTAAACAAATGTCATAATTAACAAAGTGGGGCAGAGAGAGAGCAAGAGAGAAAGAACTAAAGAACATCCGGTCAAAAAAACCCCCCCGAAAAAACAGGCAATTAAAAGTAATTGTTTTTATTAGCCAGGGATAAGCTTTTTAAAAGAGTGGGTGGTAATCTTTAAATATTAAACACAGATATTTAGTTTCATTGCGAGTTTAATGACTGAATGCGTCTCTCTGTCTCTATTATTCACACACACACACACACACACACACACGGACACATGGCCGTCTGTGAGGATGGCGTCACTAATGAAACAACTTTGGTGTGCCACATCAGAGTCCACCCACATTGTTGGTATATGGCACAGGTGGCCAGCCCCAACACGCTTTACCAACCAGCTGACTCATAAACACTCTCTCACCAGCTCTCTATCTGTCTCTGGCATAATCAATTATACCCAGAAGTAAAGCGTTATGAATATTTATCAATCCACGATCTTTGAAGTTACCAAACCTGAACATTCACCTATCACAAACTTCCAGCAATTGTCATGAGGTAAAAAAAAAAGTGAATAATTTAATGCGTCCTTGCTGAATAAAATTATTCAATTATTAATTTCATTTTAAAAACCAGTTCTTTAAAATAAATTAATGTTTTTATTTAGCAAGGAAGCATTGAACACAGAAGTAAAAGATATATCAGCTTTATATAAAAATATAAAGCACCACAATTGTTGTCAACACTGATAATAATAATTATTCCTTATAATAATTATATATAATATATATTCATTATTATAAGTCAGCATATCACAATGATGTCTGAAGGATCATGTGACATACAGTTAGTGAAATTAATGTACAGCATACAACCATCACACAAAATATATATTAACATTCAGTTTATATATATATATATATATATACACACACACACATAATAAAATAATTTCACTATTCACTATTGATATTATTAGCAAGTAATAATATATATATATATATATATATATATATATAAAATGGTGTATGTTGTACACCAACCTCCGTTAAACATACAATTTACAAAGAAATGTCTAAAAATGTCAGTGTTGTAATAGATTTAAATGACAATTTTGATTTAACAGGATGAGATAATTCTCCAAAATAACAGTCTTTAAAACTCATTTATCCATACCTTTGTCCTTCTCTGTTCTCTCTTTTCTAATGTAAGGATAAATAAAAAAAATAACATCAACAATTTCCTTAGCGGATCATTTCAAGAATACATAATGCGCCTTTGAACAGAGGCTGTGGCACCCATAAGGGCAGTTTTGTTTGGGAGTATATTACAGATTTCGATATAAAAGCATTTGAATATAACAATCAGGCAGATAATGTATAAAACAAACATAAAATGAATAACAATTACATATTCGACTTTAAAGATAATGACACAAAAGTTACAATAATTGGAATAACAGCAGAGATATCACAAATATGTAAAAAAGTGCTAAACATATTAATCACAAAGTTGGTATTAAACACTTCTGGCACATCATCGCAAGTTGTGGTATCATCAAATGTATGAAATAAAGATAAAATAAGACTATAGTGATTATTTTACCATGTAACCGTAACATCTGATCAGGCTGCCGTCCTACAGAGGGTCCTCTCACCTGAATATTGAACTGTTACTTCCTGTTCCTGCCACATCAGTTCCTGTCTTGTCATGTATTTAAACCATGTGTTTCCACTGCCATTTTGCAAAGTATTGCCAGTTCCACTGCCATACTAAACGTTCTTCCATGCCATTGCTGATGTTTATTGTTATGACCAATGCTTTTGTTCTTCTGACTCATGTCTCTGGATTACTGTTTTGGATTTGTCTGCCATTCGATTGTTTTCCATGTGTTTTGACTCAAGCCTGTGGCCTGACTTAAGATCTGTGAATATTGTTTGGACTTGAAGCACAGATCCTTGAATAAAGACCCGCATATGGAATCCACTCGGCCTACCTCTTCCTTACAGTAACACATGGCTGAAGATATGACTGAGGGTTTACTGTTTTTCATGGTATAAGAACACTGACCAAGATTAGCACACTGTGTGAGAAGAGCTACAGTCATACTAAACCAAAAGAGCAGAAACAGAAACAGATGCCACACACGCCACAATTACACCCATGCAGTAGTTACAAAACTTAATTTTAGATAGTACATGCCTTTATGCAAAAATAACTGTAATTGCAGGAGGCGTTGGTGAAATCAAAAAGTGTAGTGCAGCTGCCTCTTTTTGCACATTCCTGTTATGCAGTACCCTTGGAGCTCTGTGACTTTGATTATTCTTGGGTCAAATTAAAGCTTTTCTATAAAAGCATACATAAGACTTTCAGGAATTAAATATCTGGTAAAATTCAGGCCCTTTAACTTCGTTAAATATCTTAATTTACCTACATAATGGCAAGAAAGTGAAGAGGATGGAAAGTTAGTAGAAAGGTCGAGGTTCTTTAAATTTCAATCTTTAAAAGTTCTTCTTATTTTTTAGGCTTTTTGCCTTTATTTTACATGACAGTAGGGGTGAGAGACAGGGGGCTACTTTTGGGACATGTCCGAGGTCTCAAACTTGCATCCCCAACTATATTTTGAAAGTTTTGTACAATCATAGAAGTTTCATATACAACAATATAGGCCTAATGACTGTTCTGGTGGTTTCCCATTAAAATGGTCACTTCCTGGAAGATGATGCCATTAAAGGGGTCATATGATGCTGCTAAAAAGAACATTATTTTGTGTATTTGGTGTAATTAAATGTGTTAATGTAATTAAAACACATTATTTTCCACATACTGTACATTATTGTTTCTCCTCTATGCCCCGCCTTTCTGAAACGCATCGATTTTTACAAAGCTCATCGGTCTGAAAAAGCGTGGTGTGCTGTGATTGGCCAGCTGTCCAGTGCGTTGTGATTGGCCGAATACCTCAAGCGTGTGGCGGAAATGTTACGCCCCTTGCCATATTGTGATGCCTTGTCCCGGCCGGAGCGACGAGACAAAAACATTAAAACCCATTACAAACGAGGCATTTGTTGCATACAGTGGGGACATAATTACTGATTATAATGACTTATACTGTCTTTTTACGCGTTGCGTTGCATCGCGCCGCATAAACATAAAACCATGTCTGCATTTGTGATCAGAGAAATGACAAACAACAAGTGACTGCTGTTCCTGAAACCACGCTTTCTTTCTTTGCGTGCACATTTGGGCGGTGTTATGCAAATCTTCCCACATAGTGATGTAGATATGTGGGGGCGTGTTAGAACGAGCCATTTTAGGTAGGCGTGGTTGACTCTTAACTTTTATAAAGAATATCTCTTTGGATTTGAGACTTTAGTCTTTGCAACTTTACAGATCTTCTTTATGCACCAAGGGCTTGTAACACTCCAAAGAGAAAGGAAAAATTTAAATCACATCATATGACCCCTTTAAGAAACTGGTTTGTTTTTTATTTAAGTAGTAAACTAATTTCAAATGTATGTCTTTTTTTATGTGATTTGTTAATAATTAATTAATAATTGTGTAATTTTAAATTTGTAATATTTCATCCAATATAACAGGGATAAGAAAATGTACTTTATAACATAGGTGACCCATTTAATGGGAGCTTTTTTTACTCTGATCATTTACCCCCCAACTGTTTTCGACCATTTTGCTGTTTTGAGGGCGTGAGTGTTCTCATAACTGGCCATAACGCACACCTAAACGTCAATGAGAACGTTAAAATGTATTCCTTATAATCTGGTTGAGCAGCATAGAGCAGTTTGAGCTGCAGCAATAAAGCTATACTGCACGTCTACCTGAGAGAAAGAGAGAGTGAGAGAAAGAGAGAGAGAGAGAGAGAGAGAGTGAGAGAAAGAGAGAGAGAGAGAGAGAGAGAGCGCGCTCCAAGTGCAGGTTTCTGGGTTGGCAGCAGAACGCGCGAAACGAGCGTGGCACGCGGAATATTGGCCAAAATTACCGCGAACTCAAACATCAGGAGACGCTCAAAGGGAAGCGAACGAGAACGGTCGACAACGCCTATTTCTCTGACACGCTCAAATTATCCGGTAAGTCTTTGTGTTTACATTAATTCCACGCAACTGTTGTCGCTGAATGCGTAGATTTGTTCCCCTAACGTCTTTACCGAACGCTTTCGTAATATAATGTGTTAGTTTTGTTTAACAGACTGCGCTGCTATTTTTTTTCTTTAGCAAATTCACCTGTGACTTAACCTGTAACGTTAACTAAAACTAGCGGGTGGCTAGTTTTAAACTCTTTCCACAACTTTAAGTGGTTCCGCGCCACAGTCATAATGCTTGTATTTACATTTGTATTTGCATGCTTGAACTTCCGTCAGGTGAATTTTGTCAGTTAAGTGTAAATGGTATGTCAAATATGTTTACATCAAACCCAAATCACTGCGTGTGCTGCGCGCAAGTGGACACTGCAGTTTCTGGCGATCGTTATTTCTTGACAGCAAAACCTGTCCTTTTCAGGCAAGTTGTGTAATTAATCAGTTCATCTTCAGTTGATTTCTTGAACGTTAATTATAAGTTATAAGTGCAGTGGACTGTCCTTTTTGTTTGATAACAAAAGTGCAGTGTTGAATTATGTGTGGGTAGTGGTCAGCAATATGCATGTAATTTGCTAAAACAGGTAAATCCTTGCTGCATAGACATTGCATGGATGCTCACAGACCTGGTTATTAGATTAGAAATGTATTATGTGTTTTATTTTTGCAGTCTATGACATCATGTACCATCAGCCCAATGCTGTCACATAATGACATTTTAAGGATTTTGTTTCAGCATCTGCAACTGAGTGGTGTTTTGTTTTGTATAACTAAAACATTGATATAATATTCTAATATTTATGTTCATCAGATTTAAGTGGTTTATAAATCTAATACTTATACCTAAATTGTGTAAATTAGTGTCTGATACAAAGAGTGCTGCTGTTACAACCTAACACTTGGTGGGTTCTAACACTAATAAAAAAATGAACATTTTGTGCTCTACTTTTACTTTGTGTTAATCAGACTTACTTAATCATAAAGGTATAAGGTCGTCATGAAATTTAGGTGAACAAATAGGAAGCATTTTAGTAATATAGCCCAAATACTAGCAACTCTAAAAACATAACAGACAGTGCATGTCTATGTATGTAGCTATGTGTGGTGTGTGCACCCAATATGCTTTTTTTGTGCAATCTGAAATGGAACACGCAGTGGAAGGTGCTACAACCCTCCCCATCTAGTCAGGCATGATAATTTTTTTAAACATGTAGATGAAAAACTTGTGTAGATTTTATATATTAAATTAAACAAGATAATTTGTTTATTCAAATGATACTACTTTAACATTAACATGACCACAAATCAAATTGAAGACTTCAGATGCAAATTAGTTTTTTTATCAGGCTCCTATATTTATGTTCAGTTATTTCACTTTAATGGCATAGAAAAGGACCTATACATTTCCATTAAAGTAAAATTACTGAAACCTACATAGGAGCCTGAAAAAATGCTAATTTTAGATGAAATAAATGAAATGATACCGATACCGATATTAGGGAGTAAAAAAAAAGGCCGATGCATATTTTGGTTACACAGTTCATTTAAAAGCCTCTGGTGTGTAAAAATAGTAAATACCATTATGTCCTCCTGTTTTTTACAGTAATAAAAATTATAGGAGCATTAAATAGTTAACAAAGAAACTTCTTTCTAATGCTCATTATATTAGCATTAGCCGCGCTTATACTAACGATTAACTACGTATACGCTAACGGCGATGTTTATTTCAATCCGACATTCAAATTCATATGGAATAATATTCATAACAGAAGCTCTAAATATTAAAAATTTAATTGAAACGTACCTGCTTGAACTTGATCGGGGTGTTTTGTTAGTTTGATGCATTTCCTCCTCTTGAGGTCGCCACGTCTCAGTGCTTTTATGAAGAGGACAGGATTGCCTGGTTTTCACAACAAAATCCGCCCAATCGCTACTCAAAACTAGCCCAATCGCGTTTCGAGGGGGATAAAATACACATGTTTTGGCGGGGTTCCCCTGGTGAAATTCGCATTCCAGGGGCTAAATATCACATTATTGGGGTCGTTTTTCAACCCACGGCAACAGTGTTAAAGTAGCCCAATTCCGCGGGAAAACCGAAAAAAAATCATAATCTAGTAATTAGAACCCGTCCGATATATCGTTTAGCCGATATTATCGGCCGATATGAGCCTGTCGCCGATATATCGGTATCGGCGAATATGCCACAGATACGATTTTTTTTTTACAGAACATATAACGCTGATTAAATGCTTCTGAATGGTGTAATTACTTAGTTTGTCCAGCAGAGCGCGCTCCATTGTTTGCTACTGGCGACCCAGGTCAGTGTAGTGTAGAGATGCGCGGATGAGCTCTAACTTCACCCGAGTCCGCTGCTTCAAATTAGCCGCCCGCCACCCACCCGCACCTATATTTGATCGTCACATTACAATGATTCTAATTCTTAGTTTTGCATGATGATATGATGAATAGATGGTTCATTTTTAACAGCAGATTCAGTGACGTTAGAGACTAGAGCTGATCTGCGCATCACGGCACGCGTCTGCGGCACATTAAAGGCTGTGTTACGGCCACCAGAGCTGATCGCGGCCACACAGTCAATGCTGGTGTTTATACCGGCCACGCCGCGGCCCAGAACTCATGCTTATCACATCAGTCACATCACATCGCGTGGCGCGACAATATACAATATAATTCTATTGTATTTTGTCGCGTCGCACCGTGCCGCTCGCGTCCGGTGTAGAATAGAACCCATTATAATCAGTGATGTTGTCTACACTGGATGCAGTAAACTGATGCCTCGTTCTATTTATGACGCGCTGACACAAAGTTCAAATGATTTTCAACGGTCGCTTTGTCGCGTCCTTGTTGCGGCGCAGACACGGTGTCAGCATAGTTTGTCAGTACAGTCAGTAACATAGCAGATTGAAAAGTTAGTATCTTTCTGCAGTCCAATAGACGGCAGTGCGGTGGTGGCTTGAGTCTGTTGAATGGTAATTTAACGCTACGTTATCACCTAGTTGGAGAGACTCAATGCTAAGTAAATAAACAACAATCTCCCCGTCTTTTACTCTCACAATGAGCTTATCATATTCGTGTGCTACATTAGTAGGGCTCTATGATTTCCGCGATGCAGAAAACATGGACGGAATCGCGGAATCCAGTCATAAAAACAGAATTTACTGTATAACGCGGAATTTCATGGAATTTGTCTTATTTTTGATGAATAAATAAAAAACAGGTCAGTACGTATATATAGACTGTGTCTGTGAATATTAAACTGCAAAAAGACGATTTAAATACGAATGTTCTGCGTTCATTTAAATACCAGAAAATACACAACACAGAGTTTGTGAAAAATATTATTCATTATTATTATTTATTCATTTTAGATGTTTACATTTGGAAAACTTTGCTTGCTTGCCCTACACAGTTACCTTGTTTAATTTCTTGATTCAAGTTATATATATTTTGTTCTATTTGTGTTAAGTTATTTATAATAAGTGAAGTGATGTTTACTGTTAAGGGCACTGATGTCAGACTCATTTTGAATAATAAAGTTTATTGTTAAAT